ATTATTAAATAACACAAAGGGCTTCCATATGCCCTTTGTGTTATTTGTTGTTCATTATTTTTTTTGCACATTGCAGCAAACAATTTGTTTTTTTGTTCTCAGGTCTTCACAGTAGAGTCATCTTCCATGTCCCAGCAAGTCATGCAGAAGGTTAGTGTATTCTGTATTATAGTATCTCTGTTCAGAGGACATTACCTATACACAACAGAGGAAAACCTGTCTGTGTTGCCCAGAGGATCGGGTTTTCTAGAGCAGTGGTTCTCAACCTATGCAGCTTCAGGACCCACATTTGTCCTTGGTCTTGACCCAAGTTGCACTGCAATGGAATGCACGGCATTGCAATAGTGTGTTCTGATGCGGGCAATCAATATCAAACAATTGCATTTATGGCCAGGACCTGAGCAGAAGGCACCGCACCCCTGAAAATCGTAGTCACAAAGAGAAAGAAAAGTGGGGTTTTTTAGGTACCAAAATGACAAATCCAAAATGATAGATGATACAAAATATTCTTTATTAGATAATGGTTAAAAATATAGATAAAATTCATTGATGAAAACCAGCTGATCAGATATCTCCTAAGAGACTCACTCCACTTATGACGTGACCTAATCAAAACGACATGAATAACTTATACATTCTGAATAAACATGCTGATATAACAAGATTCAAAAGGCAAACATGATTGGTTTTTAAAATATTCAGAGTGGAGGAGTCATTTGATTTCTCCACGTTTCACGCTCAAAAGCGCTTCCTCAGGAGATGGAAGGTATTGATTTAAGCCGGTTTGACGCACGTGCACTCAGGCAGACCAGTCCGGGCAGAACCCCACAACTCAAGGGGAGAGAGACGAGCGGATACAGACACTCCAATGACAGGCAATTGAGAGTGGAAGTCACACAGTCATAAAGAAGCCTTAAATCAAAGGAGAGAACACTAGCAATAACGCAAAGTGTGACCTCATAAAGTTTTCTGACTCTTAAATAGCAATGGCAAAAGCCACAAAATCATAAACCAGCAAGGTCCAATTAAGAATGAAATGCATATAATCTTAAATGGATATCAGCAAAAATAGCTTCCTTACAATAGAAGGCCAGATATCCTGAGCCACTTACCCCAACTTGCTCCTTTGACCGGAGAAGGACCTGCCACAGCCAGAGAACACAATTGTTTTTTTTATTCTGGTGCTCTTTACCTAAGTTCTCCATTCTTTTTCGACAGGTTTGCTTTGAAGAGACAGTCCACCAAATAATGATATTTCAGTAAAGTGTCTATACTGGTTGGTAGACCCATGTACTGGTCAGACACCGTGTTATCACTGTCATTTGAGGCTTGAAAGGGCATTTATCTATGTTCACTCAGTAGAGTCTGAGATTGAAAACACTTCTCCATACACTGCTATTACTGCCCCATACTTAGCTTGTTCACACCAGCCTGTGCGCATTGAGCACTGTATAATGTGTGTGCTGGCGTACGTTGTGATCATCACATTGTTTACCTTTTTTTTTTCTTTTTTTCAACTTTATTGTAATGTCACAACATGACATTTCATTCAAATCTATTCATGCATTGCACTGCAAACAAATGCAGACATGCTGTATTTTTACACGACACACACCACCACACATGTATGTTGTGAACACAGTTGTCTATGTGCCCTAGCGTTAAACCTGTCTTCCCCTACGCAGATCAATGTAGCTCAATGTAGCTCCATGGACATGGTGTGAATTAGCTCTTATTACACAGATGTGGGGTTTTCAATATCTGAAAAATGCTACTATACAGTTCCACATAAAAGCTCTTCAACTAAGTCAGTACTACCCTACATTCTAAAAATGCATGGATATCAATTTACCCCTAAGCCTAGCTTTTATTTCTCATCTTTTAGCTTTTGCAAACCAATCACCTCAAAGGGGCCATTCCAGTCCTACAGAAATCACCAGAAAAAATTACTGCAGCTGA